GAGAAGGGTGTGGGAAGGGAGCTATTAAAAGGTTTGGAGGTGTCACTCGAAAGCCGTGGCCGGGGGGGCTAAGCCCTCAATGGTGGCTCATCCCCCTGTGACTCACATCTTTTGTTTCCTTGGGGAAGAGGTCCTGGCAGGAAGGGAAAAAGAGCAACGAGCTTGAGCACAACGCAGACGAACGGCTCGAAAGGAAACAGGGCCCTGGTTTTATTCCCCCCTGCTCTAAGCCAGAGTGTTTTTGGTGAGGGCTGGGAGCAGGCAGGGTCCCCTTTGCCCACAGTGACCTTTCCCTGCGTGGCTGGGGGGAACATTCCTTCCCCGTGACCTTATGGGGAGGCCCGAGCTGCTGGCTGACACCAGCACTGCCAAACGGGGCCAGGGACACCCAGGGCAGCCCTGGCACCCCCCAGCAGGGAGAAGAAACCCTGGGGGTACCAACAGGCAGTGCTGGAAAAGCCAAAAGGAGGAAATTTCGTGCTCTTGTTGCTTCCACTTCCTCAAATGTTTTCTTTTCGAGGCTGAATTTGGGAAGGAGGGGATGTGAGCTGCTCCTTCCTATGCATCTCAGCATCCCCATGCAGGGGTTTGCAGCTCTGAGGCAGAAAAACGGACCTCCCACGTCCGTCCCAGGACAGACGGACACAGCTGAGCGGTGGAGGAACAGGAACAAGGATGCGAGAAGGGGGGGTGACCTGGGGCCGGTGCCATGGGAAGGGAGAGGAGCCAGCAGGGGCAGGGAGAGCAAAGGGCAGACAGAGCTGACGGGGAGAGGAGGAGCAGCGAGCCCAACGCCAGCTCCTTCGGGCCTCTGCGGAGAGGAGGAGGGAAGGAAAAACAAAGCCGGGAGAGGAAAGATGAGACAGCGCTGGGGTCTGGCCAGGCAGCTTTGGAGGCTGGACAGGAAGCAAAGAGGTGGGGACAAAGCTTGCAGGGACAGCTGGGGCCAGGGCACAGCGCTCAGCGTGTGTTTGCTCCCCGAATGTCCAAGCTTGGGGGAGTAGAGGGGCGACGGGCTTGGCACCGTCCTGGCCATCCCACCGCCCCGGCAAGGATGGGGTAACTGCACAGCGCATCTGAAGGCTTCAAGTTTGCAGCTGTGCCTTCAGCCAACGTTTCAACACCATTATGCGCCTCGCCGCCACGTTCACGCCGATGGTGGAGCTGAAAGAACAAGGCTAAGAAACACCATTAGTAGATCCCTGAAATGCTGCTTCTAAAACACGGGGAAGTCAAGCATTAAGCAGCCTCTGGACTTCATCTCTGCAGTCTCCATAATTAATAACCAGCTCAGGAGGGAACAGAGGATACAACGTGACTGATGGAGGCAGGAGGGAACCGCACGAGTACTTCAGGCCTTGGATGTACGCCCAGAAGTGCAGGTACAGTCAAAAAATTAACTTAATGGAGGGACAACCTGCACTGGGTAAGGGAGGCCTCGAGTCCAAGCTCCCTCTCGCAGCAGGACCGCTGCCAACAGGAGATCAGGGCGACGACTGAAACCTCCCTGGATGAACAAACCCCACACCAGTTGTTTTTTTTTTCCCCCTAATATCCAGGCCAAACTTCCCACATTCCCCTCTTATGTCATCTGCCGTGGCTGCCAGGAAGAGTCTGACTGCATCATCTGCGTGTATCATCGCCGTACCCGCGGACAGATCCCAGCCACCTCTTCGGCACACGGGGGGCTGAGCTCTCCTCTCCCTGATGGCTGTCACCACGTAGCCTTACCAGTCTGAACCAGTCGACAGCACTCAACCCTACTGGACATCCTCCCGCAGACGCAGGAGCTGCCAGAGACCCCCCCCCAGGCAGTAACACACACAGGAATTTGGGCCTGCTACATTAGCAGCGACCGGAAAGCGAGCAATAAAGCTGGAAATAATGAGATGTCAGTGCCACGGTTGCTTTTAGTCGGCCTCAAGCGCGGCCCCCTCCCCATCCGCAGGTACCGGGAGCCCAGCTCTCCCCGGTGGCCCTGCACCGCCTGCCCGTGCTCATCCGAAGTGACAGCGCTCGCCGGCTACATCCACGCGCGGGGTCTTTACACCGTGCACCGGGGCTCCCTCGCCTCTCTCTCCTCCGCTCCCTAAAAGCCTCGAATGATCACCATGAATTATAGATCAGCTCTTGCCACAAACCGCCTCATGTCACTTTTCTCATTCGACCATGCACGATCCTGCTGTTTTCCATCCCTTTCCAGAACCATCCTCGTAACGGAGGAGGGGGTGGAATAACTCTTCAGTTGGAGCAACTTGTAGGAAAGGAGCCAGTCGAGCTCCATGTTGAGGGGTGTGACACCCCCAGGCCACTCATACCTTAAAAAACAACAGTGCTGTCATTTTGGGGGGTTATCTGTGACTGCTGTAGATACCGTCCCTGCAGCCACGGGCTCAAGATGCAGCTGTGCAAGCGAAAAGGCTGACATAGACAGCAAAGATTTATCTCAGAGAGCTCCTGTCATTGAGAAACAGCAGCCTCCTTTATCCCAGGACCCTGCCCGTGTCTCCATCAGCATCACAAACTGCTCATCATTGCCCCAGAGGGTTAGAAAGGACCAAATGATGGGATGGATGCTCTGAATCTCACAGCTGAGGGAACAACATCCTGGCTGGGCAGGACATGCACCACTCGAGGAGCCTCACCTGGCACGGACAGGTAGAGACCACACAGGTCAGTTTGCCCAAAAAACCTTCCTGAAATGCATAAGAAGGGACACGATGTCTCTGTCAAGAACAGCCCAACGCTGCCAGGGAAGGAAGAGAAAAATGGAGCAACAGGCCCCCAGGAGAGAGCGCGATGCTTCCCAGCAGCGTTTCGCAGCGCCAGACTGAGGGAACAGGGCTTTGGCCAAAGAAAGCGAGCCGAGGGCATGATGGTTTTGGCCACTGGGAGAACGCTCTTGCCAGACACAATAAATGAGAACACCCCGGAGAAAGATGAAGTAGGTTTAAGTTTTTAACAGCTGCGAACTCTTATGTTAAACTTCAGTGAAAAGCCGGATGTGGGCATTATGCTGTGAAGAGACCGGAGCGGTACCAAAATGCCATCGACAAACAGACTCCCATTGATGTAGCCTGAGATATTTTCAAGTTGCACCACTTGATTTTTAAGAGGTCTTAGGAAAAAAAACCCTCCAAGGATCACTGGGAGCATCTCTGATAGCAAACTCACACAGAAGAGAGGAGCTCATTCTCATTTTCTGAACTTGTTTTCTTCACGACCGCTCGCCTTATATTCCATGCCACCTCCAACGGGGCAATGCGAGCTTCCCTTCAGCTATTTTTAAGCTTTGAGCCTGTACCCTAACAAGCTGCAAAACGTCCTCCAAGGAGACAAAGCATCTAACCCAGTTTTGCCCACTGGAGCGGTTTGTTCCTTTGAGGACCGCAGCCCGACAACGCCAGCACAGCACGGCGCCGGTGGTCAATCTTCCTTTCCTGCTCTCCTATTTTTTGACCTGACGTATTTTTCATCTTTGAAAGTAGCCAGAGGCGTTTTCTTTAGACTCCCCTACCACCTTAATCACTTCGGCAGAGAAACAAAAGCAGATGCCAGCCTACCTTTGGTTCACAGAGCGGAAAGGATGATGCTATGAAAGGCGCTTGAGAAATCACCCCATTAAAACCCCCAAAGGTATGAAAAGGCAGCTCGGAGCTCACTAAGAGCTCACCGAGAAAATCACTGCTCAAAAATGCAGCAGATGGAAGAGAACCTTTATTCCTGAGCGGAGCTGACAGAGAGGGAGGTGAGCGGCTTTGCACGTGTGCCACGGGTGCTTTAAAGCAGAGCTCTAACGGAAAACTAAAGAGATCCAAGGGGAATTGCTTGTGCTGACCTGAAAGACAGAGGAAATAAAAACAGCTTCAAAACCAGCTGGAGCAGCGTGCTTTTATGTATAGAAAATGCACATTATATCTATGTATAATAAAAAATAACAGAAGAAACCTCCTACCAGCATTCAGCAACTCTTTAAAGGGGGCTGACGTGCAATGCTGGCAGTACTGCCCGTTTCTCAAAACAGCCCTCTCTAAAATCAGGTGTATTACGCAGAAGGATAAATGCCACACTTACAGAAGGGTATTTCTCCCCCAAGCAGACATCAACTTGGTCAGTCCTGCAGCAGCAAAGCCTTATCCTTCCTCTGTTCACGTGTCCCGAGCTGACGGCCCCTGCTGCAACCCCTCGATAGGCCAAGCGAGGTAACAGCCCGTGTGCACGCAGCAGCCATCGGTGGGATATCACAGTCACCTCATTTTATCTTTGATCCTAACCCCAGAGGAGCCGAGAAACGGCTCCTCTCCTGCAGGGCCACGGAAACAATAACAGCATTGACAGGCCCTGGTGCAGCACAGCAAAATAAGTTATGGAGAGGACGTAATTTGGCTCCGTTCCTCGTTAGCCTGCACTGCGCACAACATCAGGGAGCTTTCGTTTAAGGTGGTTTTCCTCCTCCCCCAAACAAGACCAGTCAAAGGCGTTAGCCCAGATCGGTAAGTCACTGAGAAGATAAAAATACAGCAGATTCCTTGACCTCCTTGACAAGGAAAATGCAACAAGCACAGAGGACACTGACTCTCTCATTCTTTAAGGAAGAAACCCCGGAAGCCAGCATTTTAAGTTTATTACTAGAAAAAAATAAAAGAAAAGCTTCAGTATTACACTGTCATTTTATTTCCTTCCTGCCCATACAGCAGAACTGTGCAACACATGTGCATCCACTACAGTGACGAGCAATCGCCGCAGGCAATTTCGGATGAGCATCAGGAAGCTACAGCTGCATTGCCATCCTGCAGCTCACTGGGAGCTCTAGAGAGGGGGTTTTTTAATGAATCTGAGCCTCGGATAACACTGCAGTTCAATAACCACGGCAAGGAAGGAGTGTACAAACCGTGGGAGTATTTGACTGTGAAAGAAACTCGCCTGTAGTGATTTTAGGAAAAGGTTTTCCTGAAATAAGCCAAACAAATGCTGTATTCAATTCTACCAGAAAGCTCCCCGTAAGTAATTCCAGGTAAATACCCACTAAGCAACATAAGAGCAGAGTTAAGCACTGAACAGGAACTCCTGCATTACCCGCTGAGCCCCATTTATTACGCTACCCAAGAGGCAGCTGGTGAGAACCTCCGACTTAAAGACACATTTCCCATTAGCTAATTAAATTAAATTCTAATTTTAGCAGTTCGTACTTGCTCTTAAACCGACCTGTTCCATCTCAGCAGTTGCTGGGATGGGGATAACAACATCACATTACTACATACAGACAGTCTTTCTGCGGGCAGACACTGAGCCCGAGTGGCAAAAAGCCTGTATAAAAATGCACGTTTTCACTTCAGAATTTAACCGGTCACTGTTTGCCAGGAACGACATCAGAGTAATCTTCTAATACTCCAGCCAAGTGGTCGTTGTGAGTCTTAAACCGACGTTTCTTCTGAGAAGCAGGTTTCTTCCTCCTCTGAATAGGCGCCTGGGAGAATAAACAAACAGCGGTCAAAAGCTCTGCGATGCCTGACCTGATGGGTGACGCTGCGCTCCTCATCGCTGCTGCGGGAAGAGCCCTGCTTGAAGCTGGGGTGGGAAGGTGCTTGCTCGTTTTTGCAAGGAGCAACAGCATCAGATTCAAATCCGGGCAGGGAGCTGACGCTGGGGACAGAGCAGTCTCTGTACCCCATGCACGGCTGTAAAACTGGTGTTTGTAAGTGGAGTTCCCAAACGCTCCCATGCAGCTACAGGAGCAGATACGTGCCCCATCGTTCTATCCACCATTACGTGCTCTAAGACACATTTAGTACACAAGGAACTAATGAGAAGTGCCTTTGTGGTGACAGGCATTAAAGCATCTTGTGTAGCAACCGGCAGAAACCAGGAACAAGTCCTGTGGGGAAGGGCTCTCATGAAAGGACAGTGCAGGAGAGGAAAAGACATATATATATTTATATATATGTATGTGTATATATACACACACACACACATTTAGAGAGTGGAGCATCTCCCTTATGAGGAGCGGCTGAGGGAGCTGGGGCTCTTTAGTTTGCAGAAGAGGAGACTGAGGGGAGACCTCATTAATGTTTATAAATTTGTAAAGGGCGAGTGTCAGGAGGAAGGAGCCAGGCTCTGCTCTCTGATGTCCAATGACAGGACAAGGGGCAATGGGTGCAAGCTGGAACATAGGACGTTCCATGCAAACATGAGGAAAAACTTTTTTACTGTAAGGGTTACAGAGCACTGGACCAGGCTGCCCAGAGAGGTTGTGGAGTCTCCTTCTCTGGACACATTCAAGGCCAACCTGGACGCCTTCCTGTGTGACCTAGTTTAGGTGACCCTGCTCTGGCAGGGGTTGGACTGGATGAGCTTTCGAGGTCCCTTCCAACTCCTGAGATTCTGTGAGTCTGTGATTTATATATATACACACATATCTGTATATATATGTACACATATGTGTATGTGTGTATATATGTGTATATATGTATGTATACATATGTGTGTGTACATATGTATGTGTGCGCGTAGATATATATGCATGCACACATGTATGTGTGCGCGTAGATATATATGCATGCGTGTATATATGCATCTGTAGATATGTGTGTATGTGTGCATATGTGTATGTGTGCATATGTGTATGTATGTGTGTACAAATATGTGTATACGTGTGTGTATATATGTGTATATATAATGTGTGCATACATATCTATATGTGTATATGTGTGTGTATATGTGTGTATATATGTGTATACATGTGTGTGTATATATGAAGTGTGTGTATACATAAAGTGTGTGTATATGTGTGTATATGTCTGTGTGCGTATATATGTGTATGTATCACGTGTGCACACATATGTGTGTATATATAATGCGTGCATATGTGTATATATGTGTATATGTATGTGTGTGTGTATATATAGTGTGTGTATGCATAAAGTGTGTGTATACATAGTGTCGTGTGTGTATGCATAAAGTGTGTGTATACATAGTGTCTATACGTGTATGTGTCTATGTGTGTGTATATATGTGTATATATCATGTGTGCACACGTGTGTGTATATATGTGTGTATATATAATGTGTGCATATGTGTCTATGTGTATACATATGTGTATATATGCGTGTGTATGAAGTGTGTGTATACATAAAGTGTGTGTATACATAGTGTGTATGTGTCTGTGTGTATATAAGTGTATATATCGTGTGCACACGTGTGTATATATGTGTGTGTATATATAATGTGCATATATGTGTATACATGTGTATATATGCGTGTGTATATATAGTGTGTGTATACATAAAGTGTATGTGTCTATGTGTGTGTATATATGTGTATATATCATGTGTGCACACATGTGTGTATATAATGTGTGCATATATGTGCATATACGTGTATACATATGTGTATATGTGTGTACAAAGTGTGTGTATATATATGTGTGTATGTGTATATGTGTGTATATGTCTGTATATATAAAGTATGTGTATATGTGTGTGTATATATATGTGTGTATGTGTATATATAAAGTGTGTGTATATGTATATGTGTGTATATGTGTGCATATATAAAGTATGTCGTGTATACATATGTGTATATGTGTGTACAAAGTGTGTGTATACATATGTGTGTATGTGTATATGTGTATATGTCTGTATATATAAAGTATGTGTATATGTGTGTGTATATATATGTGTGTATGTGTATATATAAAGTGTGTGTATATGTATATGGGTGTATATGTGTGCATATATAAAGTATGTGTATATGTGTGTGTATATATATGTGTGTATGTGTATATATAAAGTGTGTGTATATGTATATGGGTGTATATGTGTGCATATATAAAGTATGTGTATATGTGTGTGTATATATATGTGTGTATGTATATATATAAAGTGTGTGTATATATATGTATGTGTATACGTGTGTATATGTGTGTATATATAAAGTGTGTGTATATATGTGTATATATAATGTGTGCATACATGTGTGTGTATATATAATGTGTGTGTACGTGTGTGTGTGTACGTGTGTGTGCACATATACAATGTGTGTATGTATATATGTGTGTACACATATAGGTGTGTGTGTATACATATATACACACACACACAGATATATATATATGTATGGAATAAATATTTTAAAAACTCATTTGACGCCAGGAAGAAAGCTGTCTGCATACATGTGTGTGTATATATAATGTGTGTGTACATATGTGTGTGTGTACACGTGTGTGTGTACATATACGATGTGTGTATGTATATATGTGTGTACACACATATATATGTGTGTATACATACACACACACACACACACACACACAGAGATATATATATGTATGGAATAAATATTTTAAAAACTCATTTGAAGCCAGGAAGAAAGCACCTTTGGAGAGCCTGCAGCCACTGGGGACTCTCAGTGAAACACAAGCACACTGCACCCAGCTTGGGGAAGCGTGTGCTGGGCGGCACGTTACATGGTTCCTATCGGGATTTGAAAGCTACTTGGCAGAAAATAAAAAGTGAAAAACAAAAAACCCAACTCAACCCAAAAAACCTTCTCCCAAAAAAGTAACTATTCTTTTTCTCCTAATGTATCGTGCAGCTTTAAGCAGAGGTTTCACTCCGGAGCTCCCAGGGATTTCTGGCATTTGGCCTCTTCTTGATGTTGCTTGGATTACACTGGCTCAAAGGAGTTATAAAAGCATTGACTGCTGGCTACAGGGTTGTTTTTTGCAACTTCTTAAACTTGGTTACACTCTCTCAAGCTACACAAAGCAGTTTTGCATAGGCTCACTGATGTGTTTTGGAGGTAACACTGCGGGGTCAGCAAGGGGGACTCTCTAAGTAATTTCTATCTCTTACTATTTTCTTTGGTCCGGTTTCTTGCATGGAGGAAATACCCTGGCGTTTCAGATACTCTTCAATCTTCTCCTCGTCTATAGAATCCACGGGAATGCTCCTCCACAGCTTCCGAAACTCTGAAACACCAAACAAATCCTTGGTTTATATCCCAATGAACAAACCCCCGCCCCGCACCAAGGGGAAGAAACAAGACTTGATCTCAAACACTGAAGCATTCTGTGACCGTACAGACGCAGCGATCGCAGCCAGCACAGCCTTTACCCTCTCCAAATGTCAGACACACTTCCAAAGTACTCCCAAACTCAAAAAAACCCCAAACTCAACCAACGAAACAAGAAAATAGCCCTAATACTTAACGGAAAACGATGAGCTGAGTCTGATCGGTGCTAACTGCACGCCAGCACCTCGGCATCAGGAGCACCCAGAGGCAAAAACCTGTGCTTTTAATGATCATTTGCTTTTTTTCTCTAGCAGCTCTTATCGCTCTGCAGACTGTCAACGTGGTTTATAGGCCTCGGTTCCAAAGACCTCGGGGAAGGGTAATAACTAACCACAAGCAGCAGCTTCATTTACGCATCTTCAGCTGCCGTCGTCTGGGGAGGCTCGTCATCTCATCGTCCAATTTACTCAAGATTCAAGACATTTGCTTCGAGCTCGTTTATCACAGGTAATAAATTACCCAAATTCCTCTGGTGTTAAAAAGAGGAGAGATACCTTAAAAGCCGCGGCAGCAGGCAAAAAGACAGAGACCGTACGTCTTAATTAGAGCAGCTGCCGTCTGCCTGCGCACTTTGTGCCTCATGCGAAGTCTCCCAGAAACAGGAACGCCTTCCCCAGGCAGCGGCTGGTACGATCCCACCTCCCTTCATTCCCCAGGCCTAAGTCAGATACAGCCTGTCAGCAGGTTTGGCTAGCAAACCATAAATAAAACACGAGGCAGGCAGAGCAACGCAAGATGAAAACTTCCCCTTTGTTTCTCGGTGAATTTAGCCCACGGTTGTCAAAACAACCGCAGCTTCTGCACGTTTAAGGAGCTGTCCTATGCAGCAGGACACAGATACACCGGCTCTGTATGCTCTGCAACAAAACAGTGCTGCACAAAAGGTGGAAGGAGCAGTTTGGATCCTGCACTTGGAGCAATTCCCTTCCCATTGCATCTTGTTTTTCTATGAAATTATGTGCTTTAAGCCTCAGGTTTCTCTTTGCTTCCCGTTGCCGACTGTAAGGGGCTGTTCAGGCTTTCCAGGAAACAAAAGGAAGGAATTTTGCCAGTGAAGAACAACAATGTTCATTTTTGGTAAGGCAGAGCTTTGGAAGAGAGCTGAGCCCTGTCGAAACGCTCAGGCTGTCTCTCAGCCAGGCTGTGCAGCACGGTGGGACGATGGAGACCGCAGTTTTCAGCTAACTTCAGGGCTGACGCTGTAGTCAAGACACTCTCTGTCTGCTCATCCATTCTGGGGGTGATTCCGGGCTCTCGGCACAGCTCGCGGTGCCGGCTGTCACAGCTCATCCCTCACCTCATCCCGCTGCGGCAGGTGGGGAAGGCTGCGTTGTGATCAAAGCCGAACGTGCAGGAGAGAGATTCCTCTGCGACGAGCACTCTGATTCAGATCTAACAGCAGAAGCCTGAGGAAGGGTCCGACCACGTCCTAGGATGAGCAGAACGGGCTCTTCCAAATCATTTCCTCTCTGTTCATGCCCCCTCCTGTCCTTCACTGGACAGCGAGGCCTGGCAGTGCTTGGAAAGATGAACCAGGCCATGGCACTCAAGATGATTGGCTCCATAACCGGCACCGAGGTGAGGCTGGCAGGCCCTAAATCCTCCTTCCAGCCCTTCTGGCAGATGGGTGTCCTATTTACCAACCTCCAGGCAACTGGGACCTCCCCAGTTAGCCAGGACTGCTGATAAACGATGGAGAGCGGCTTGGTGAGCACCTCCACCAGCTCCATCAGTACCCAGCCCTATAAATCTGTGTGCCAAAGTGTGTAGCAGGTCACAACCCACCTCCCCTTGGATTTTAGGGCTTCACTCTGCTCCCCATCCCCGTCTTCCAGCTCAGGTACATGGAGAACAACCGGTCTTGCTATTAAAGACTGAGTCGAGGAAGGCATGAAGTACCTCAGCCTTGGGGACAAACAGGCTCCAGTGCATAAAAAAAAACAACCCAGGGCTGAGGATAGGTGCTTAAGGTTAAACTGGTCTGCATTCTTCTGGGGAACAGAAGTGAAAAATTAAACGCTAGAAAATAAAACGGTCAGCTCTTCAAGGATCACCATGCAGGCGAGTGCTGAGCACGGTTAATATCTAACCTCAGCATTTCGCCTCGCCTGTAACGCAGCGGTTATGCCATCATCACAGCTTCACGTTCACCTTTTCAACTTGGCCAAGCAATAGGAACGTAACAGTCATCAAGATTTAAAACCACAATGCTGAAATGGACTTTACATCCAGATAAGTTAATCCACTAATTGGCCCCACCAGAGTCACTGTCACTATTCTGCAAGTCCATTTAAAAATCCCTCCATAAATCAGGCTGCTTTCAGCGTTACTGCTTTGATGGTGATACCTGCAGAACAGTCCTGCCATGCTGAAGCTCTATGGAAGGAATTAAAATAACTGAAGAAGTCACAGCAGCACAATCCCTTGGAAATAAACAGTGTTAAAGGGCTGATCTGGAACTGAGAACACAGCGTAAAGGTGCAGAAGCACACAGAGCTGCCACCCTTCAGGCAGCTGTGCATAGCAGCGGTTTGTCTTGAGGGAAAAGGAGATACATCCATCATCTCATCACAAAACCCACTCGGTGTAACACCAGACACTGAGCTTAATGCACAAACTGAAGAGAAGGAGCAGCTGTCTGGCGGGCACCGAACCATTCCCACGTTACCTGTCAGATTTACTCACAAGTCTCCAAGGACCATGCCTCTATCAGTCAGTGAAAGCCTAGACCTTGGGAATACGCTATCCAAGTTACTGTGACATCCTCTCTGAAATATGAGAGCCTATGGGAAAAGCTGGCAACTACGGCTCTCCAGAAACAACCCGCTGCAAAATTCAGACCCCTGGCCCAAGATAGGAGGAGATTTCTCCAGTTTCTTCAGGCAACGGTGACAGGAGGCAGCTCCTTGAGATGGTTTCAATCTGCTGGTTCCATTTTTTAGACTATCTTTCTTTTCTCTTCAGATGATTCAGTTGTGGTGTGAGCAGAGGAAGGGGATGGTTGGAGCACAACCATCTGTGTGCCAAAGTGGTGCAGCAGGTCACAACCCACCTCCCCTTGGATTATGGGGCTTCACTCTGCTCCCTATCCCCGTCTTCCAGCTCAGGTACACGGAGAACAACCCGTCTTGCTATTAAAGACTGAGTCGAGGAAGGCATGAAGTACCTCAGCCTTGGAGTTGCTTGCTTCAGCCAAGCATGGAGAGCAGGTTGAGAAGCGGGCGTTCCTGCGGAGCACACAACCATTACGGTTACAGAGCACACCCAGGTGCTGTGAAGCCTCAACTTTCAAGTCCTGATGCCAACGCAGTAATTGCCCAGAAGAGGCAGAACGTTGTGATCCCGCAGCCAGGTGCTCGGTGTCTTCCCTGGACTATGAACAACTCCTGTCACTACGATGTTTTAACTCAGAAGCTTGGCAGAATCAACACAGCAGAATCAGATTTTGCAAACGCCTCCTCTCTCCGAAATACCTGAGGGGTAAGGAGGCAGTTACCTCAACTTTACTGCATTGCGGGGTGCCTCCTATCTGAAAACAATTCGTGCTGACATTCCCTGAGAGCTTATGCTCTAGGAAGCTTCCTTGCTGTAAACGCTTACATTTGGGGAACAAAGTCATGGAAAAATGGCTGCACGGGGATGTCGGTGCAGCTTACCCCGCACTTCTGACTGCCTCGCTCATTGCAAAATGGTTGAGATGGCTTCTGGAGATAAACTGCTGTATCACGCTGGTAATAACATCTGCCAGAGACTAAAAACAGCTTCAAAACCTTCATTGAGCTGAGCCAAAACCTGAGCACAGGACAAGAACGGACCATAGCAGCGCAGAAGGGAAGAAACAAAGGAGCAGTGGGGAAGGAAGATGCGAGTCCTGCTTCCTAACAGTCCCAGGGAGCACAGTACCTGGCACACAGCAGAAGGAAAAGGTGCTTGATGTGAAGTCTGGACCATCTTGGAATTCAAATCCAGAGCCGTGAAGTCATCACTGAGCCCAAGCCATTTTTACACTGCTAAATTTAAGAGGCTTTGGCCATTCTTTAAATCTCTTCAAAGGTGCTTAGGAAGAATATTAAAAAGCTGTATTAATTAAGCACCTGGGTTTTTAGGCATTAAAATACTTCCTGCGTTGCATTCAGAGGTGAAAGATACCATCTGTACCAGTGAAGCAATCAGCCTGGCCTTTCAGCATTCAGCATGGGGTGAATGCTTGGTTCACATGCAAAGTGCTTCGCCTCAGCACAAAAAGGCAGCGCTTTACTTGGCTGGAGCACCTGAAATCTAGCCCGGCTTTTAGGCTTTTATAACTGCTTTCAGCTCCACACCACTGACAGAAGATTAATTAGGCAGGAAGTCAAGAAGGAACGCATGCAATCCGAACCCTCCTTGGCTAATCGGCTGAAAGGAAGAACAAAAGCCCTTCCTTACTGCAGAAACCTTCTCCAGTAGCCTGGAGATGACGATATATAGGTACTGCTGCAGTACATCGGGATTAATTTCCAAAAGGGGAGAAAGAAAAGCTTGTTCAGCCACCAAAATTGCTCTGGTCAGAGCAGAGATAGGTCCTGGAGAAAGCAGTTCCTCCCAATGCTTGAGCCAGCGACTTCCCAATTGCCCCAGCACCTCCCCTTTCTCTACTGACGATGGGAGAGGACTCCAAATTTTAGAAGGTATTCATCCCAGCCACCACGATCAAAAGCGGAGCGTGTCATACGGCAGAATCGTGCACTGAGGAGCGCAGAGCCCTTATTTCGAAGGATAAACATTAAACCAGAAACATATTTTGAGCTGTCACCAGCTGCTAGATCAAAGAGCCTGACAACACTTCAAGGCTTATTTTGCGGTCTACTGAAAACTTGGTTTTAAAGCTGCTGGAGATAATGAGGTGAAGTAGCGCCGCTAACACTGAAATGTGTCAGAACTCATCCTGTACACAGAGGATTCTGCCAATGACTCCCTAAGAGACACAATTCTGCTGCTCTGGAAAGAAGAGCACAGCAAAACCTGCTCAGGAAGGATGGGTTTTCTTCATCACAGCTGGAAAAAGGACCCATTCCTG